CACTATTTATGTGTCTCTCTTCACCGTCAGCATGGGGTTACAGGTACATGCTTCCTTGCCTCGTATTTCCATAGGTGTGTGGGATGTGATCTCAGGTCTTCTTGTTTGTACAGCGTTTTACCCTGTCAGCCATCTCCCCAGCCTAGTCGTAGATCATTTAAAAAGTAAATGTCTTGTGAGAAAATGGATTTCAGAGAGCTAAGTTGTGGTTTGGCCCTGTGGTATTCTAAGTTGTAGACCAAGGTTATGGGAACACTCAGTGGTAGATACAGATTGTGAAACTCCTCCTTCTGCAGCCCCGATCCAGCACCAGAACTTGCTTCCTGAAGTCCACATGTTTGCCTACGTGTGTGCCTGTTTATTGGCTGCAATCTGGCAAATGTCTTCTCATTCTTTTTCAACTTATATATGTGTGCATGTGTATGTGTGTATATATACGTGTGTTCATGTGCATATGGAGATCAGAAGAGAATGTCAAATGTTTCTCAGGACTGTCCACCGTGTTTTTGAGACAGGCTTGCTCATTGCCCTGGAACTTACCACATAGGCCAGGCTGCGTGACAGTGAACCCCAGGGATCCTCCTGTCTCTACCTCCCCAGCACTGGGATTATAAGTACATGTCGGACTCTCAGATTTTTTTTAATTGCTTTATAAACAATACCATTCAAAATTTCCACCTCCTCCCCTCCTCCCATTTTCCTCCCGTGCCCCCCAGTCCTAAGAGAGGGCAGGGTACCCTGCCCTGTGGGAAGTCCAAGGCCCTCCCCCCTCCATCCAGGCCTAGGAAGGTATGCATTCAAACAGACTAGGATCCCAAAAAGCCAGTACATGCAGTAGAATCAAATCCCAGTGCCATTATCATTGGCTTCTCAGTCAGCCCCCATTGTCAGCCACATTCAGAGAGTCCGGTTTGATCACATGCTCCATCAGTCCCAGTCCAGCCGGCCTTGGTGAGCTCCCATTAGATCAGTCACACTGTCTCAGTGGGTGGATCAACCCCTCGCGGTCCTGACTTTCTTGCTCATCTTCTTTCTCCTTCTGCCCTTTCCCATAGCCACACTGATGAATATCTTGAATATCGCCATAGAACCTTTATCCGGCAATGGATGGAGATAGAGACAGACACCCATATCGGAGCACTGGACTGAGCTCCCAAGGTCCAGTTGAAGGACTCTCAGATTTTTAAATGTGGCTTCTGGGGATTAAACTCAGGTCCTTTACTGACTGAGCCGTCCCTCCAGGTCCCCATTCTCTTTTATCTCATCACTGAGAACAGCCAGTCTTGAGCCACACATTGGACCTGTTCTTGCCCATCTTTTTGTCATGTTAGGAACACTTCTGAGCACCTGCTACTACCGTGTCTTCTGAAATGCGTACATACCACCAGACGTGGGAGTCACAGGTGCCATTTGCAGGAAAAGCTTCTCCAGAGACGTATCATAAGCCAGCATCCCTCTGGCCTCATTTCCTAATTACACATGTTTTAAATGGGGAAGAAAAATTCATCCTTTGGGGGAACATTGAGATATTGGGCTTTGAGGCTGATACTTCCAGGCTAAGTAAATATCAGTTCAGTTGTGCAGACTTGGGGTTCATTAGGTGTGAGGGATAGTACATTATGTGAACCTGTATGAGACTTATTATAAAATATTTATATTGATCATATTCTTATGTTTATTTAGATTCAAAATCTGTTATCCTTTAATAATTACCTTCATTTAAAAAATTAGTTTTGTATTGGAATTAATTCTGAATCTTCAGAAAATCTTCCTTAAGAATGATACTAAAGCATTTGTGGCACAGTAATCCTATATCCCTTCATTTTGAGTTATCTGTGGCACAAGAGTCCCTTTATTTTCTTCTCCTGAGATCTCAGCTTGTGTGTGTGTGTGTGTGTGTGTATAGGCACATATGCAAACAATATACTCAACATGTACATTGTACGTATTTTTAAAAGATTTATTTATTTTTATTTTATGTGTGTGTTTGCCTCTATGTATGTTTATGCACCATGTATGTGCAGTGCTTGTAGAGGCCAGAAGAGGGCACCATATCCCTTGGAAACCATCTTGTGGGCACTAGGAACCGATCCTAGGTTTTCTAAAAGAGCAGTCAATGCTCTTAACCTCTGAGTCATCGCCTCAGTCTAGTACATATGTTTTTTATTAGTGAAGACTTATGGTACAAACAATGGTCTTGCTATTCCCTATGTGTTTGTAGCTTGCTTTCTTTCTTTCTTTCTTTCTTTCTTTCTTTCTTTCTTTCTTTCTTTCTTTCTTTCTTTCTTTCAACAGGGTTTCTCTGTATAACAGCTCTTGCTGTCCTGGAACTCACTCTGTAGGCCTGGAACTCACAGAGATGCACCTACCTCTGCCTCCCTAGTGCTGGGGTTAAATGCTGCACCGCACCCTGTGCTGTAGCATACTTTAATCATACTCAACTCCATCACTTTTTCATTCCCTTCCCTTTTCCCCAACAGTCTGTTTTTTTACTTTCTTATGTCTTATTTTTACCCTTAATTTAGCCAAAAGGCTGAGAAAGAATGCCTTTTATTTTAAACTTAGACTTGTGTAAGAGAAAGCACGTTTATTATATCTGCCTGAGTCTAACTTACTCCCTTAAACCTCCAGCTCTATCCATTTCCCTGAAATTGACACCATCTCATTCTTCAGGGCTGTTACGTTCCCCACATTTCCACCCTTCATCTGCAGACGGATGCATAGCCGGTTCATCGCTTGGCTGTTGTGAATGGTGTTGTTGTGATAAACATGGGTGTCTAAATATCTCTATGGTGTGCAGATGTAGGGTTCGTCACTGCAGACCCAGGGACAGCTGGGTCTCATGGCAGTCTTGTTCTTAGTTTCGGAAGGGCCCTGCGAATTGGTTTCTGTAATGGCTGCACTAATTTCCATTCCTGCACGGTATGCAGGTCCTATCCCTCAAAGGCCAGCCTTTGTTGCTGTGGTTGGTTGTTTGTTTTCCAAATGACTGGAGTGGGATAGAAACACATTGGAGCTTTAAAAATCAATCATGTCACTTAAGATTTTAATTCTAGTGCTGTGTGTGCACGTGTCTCTCTGTGTGGTTGTATGTCCATGTCAGTGTGCAGGCATGCACATGCAGAGGTCAGAGCATGACATCATGTCTTCCTCCATGGCAGCAGGATCTCGCTGGTCAGGAAACTCACTATGTCAGCTTAGAATTGTTGGCTGGCCAGCTCTCAGTGCTGGGTTTACAGGCATGTATATCCATGCCTTTTCTTTTAAAAAAAATTATTTCTATTATATTTTTTTATATGGGTGCCAAGAATTCAAACACAGGTCCTCGTGTTTGCAGAACAAGCACTGTTACCCACTACATCCCCTGAGGCCCACGTTGTACACTGGATTTGCATTTCCCTGGTAACAAGGGAGGTCAGACATCTTTTCGAGTGTTCCTTAGCCATGCGTATTCTTGAGAACAGTTTGTTCAATTCATTCGCCTGCTTGATGATTATTTGTTCTTTGGCTATTCAGTATAAATTCTGGATCCTAATTTCCTGTCAGATGACCAGTTGGCATAGTTTTTTTCTCATCCTGTGCCTGTTGCTTCACCCTGGTGTTGGTTTCCTCTGCTGAAGAGCTTTGAACTGTGTGCAGTGAGTTCCTGAGCAGTTGGTGTCCTTTTCAGAAAGTCCTTTTCTGTGCCTTGATCTTCAAGCATCTCTCCTGCATTTTCCTCCAGTGGGGTCAGTGTTTCAGGTCTTACATAAATGTCCCTGATGCTTTTTTCTTTACTTTTTTTTTAATGGCACAGGGTGAGTCTGAGATGTAGTTTGGTCTTCAGCCTTTGAGTGTCCAGTGTTTCAGCATCATGAGCCAAGAGTTGGAGCCCGACTTCTCTCTAGTGTATGCTTGGCCCTTCGTTGGGAAAGAGGTGGCTGGAGTGTGTAGCTTTCCTTCTCTGTCCTTCAGTCTGCTCTATCGGTCGACATCTGTGTTTGTGTCAGCACCAGCCTGGTTTTCTTACCAAGGCTCTGTAGTGCAGTTTGGGATCTTTGTGTTTCTGTATGAATTGTAGGGTTTGTTTTGTTTGTTTGTTTCTCCTGTGAAAAAATATCATTGGAATTTTGATGGGAATTGTATTGACTCTGTGGTTTGCTTTCAGCAATGCAGCTGTTTTCATGGGGCTAATTCTTCTGCTCCCTGTGCAAGGGAGGTCATGGATCTTCAACACACTGAAGTGCGTTTTGTTTTCTGGAGAAAGTCTTCAAACACCGAAGAAGCTGACAGTCTCACGGTTCTTTCTGACTTCAGGGTATAGATTTCCTAAAAACAAGACTGACCTCTGGCGTAATCACAGTGCAGTGCCCATCTCAATTGATTTAATCATTTTATTTAATCTATAATTCATATTGGCTCACTTGACCCAATAGTATCCTTTATAGTGAGATGGCTCAGTGGATACAGGTGATTGCCCATAAGCCTGACAGCCTGAGGTCGGTCCCTGGAACCCCGTGTGGGAGAAGAGGAGAACTACTTCCTCCAGCAGACCTCTGACCTCTGCACCTACACTCTGGCATGACACCGCTTCCCCAATAGCTAAATAATTATACTAGAAATATACTAGAAGAATAACTCTTAACAGCCACAGTCTTTCTCTCTTGAAACTAGATGGATGTCTCTGCTCTCCCCTCCGCTTCTAGTACACATAACACATAGGAGATGTTTGTGCAGATTCTGCTTGATTTGTATGTAGATGTTTGGTGAGTTCAGGTCAGGTGTTTGGTAATGTTATACACACATGTTGGCTTTTCCTTGAGCACAGACTGCCTCATACTGCGCTTTCTGAGGACGTGATCAGCTCTGACTCCTGGGAAGGACTCACAAATGTTTACTAATGTGTCGGTTCCCTGAGCAGCTTCGATGTTACAACTTTACACGACACAGAAGCCTGCTCTGTGTCTGTGGCTGGAGCCTCAGTTCTCTAATGCGTTGTCATGCTTCCTGTCTGACCGTAGATCCCACTCACCAGCTCGGGCAACGTGCCATACCTTGAATTCCTGTCCAGGTTCGGTGGAATTGATCTAAATATAAACATTATGAAGAGGTAAGTGGGTTTTTGTCACTCGTATTAACATTTGACATTTGAAGTGATGTATCAGAGTCACAACACAGGCCATTAGAGCCAGTCCTGGTCACACATCTGTATCACTTTCCTCTCTGAGACTGAGACTTGCCATATGTCCCATATGGGCCTTAAACTCGTGATCCTCCTGCCTCAGCCTCCCAAGTGCTGGGACTGCAGCATGCAGCACATGCTCAGCTCATACCTGTGTCTCCATGGAAAATGCATGGGCAGAGCCTGTCCATGTAACGTTTAAGGGTTTAATCCTCAGTCAAAGTTTTATTTAGAAAGAATGAGGCTGTAATAGAACATAAACATAGCAGGTCAAAGTTAGGTTTAAAAATAGCCTGTGTACAATGTATTTTAAATCTGAAAAAAAAAAAAAACAGATTTTAATTTTGAAGATGCTAAGATTCCAGATTTGATATTTGTTGTTTTTGTACATTTTTGTACCATACATTGGGAAGTGACAGTGTTTTGTTGGATGAAGGAAAACAGGATGTTAAAGGTTTTGTAAGGTCACGGCTATGCTTTGTAGTTTTAGTATAAATGTAGGGCTCACTGGCTCATTGTAGACTGTGGGGCCTGCCACATAACCTTCAGTAGCCCTGTCAGCAGGTATGCTTTGGGTTCCAGTTTGTGGCTTAGGAGATACTGTTTTAGTGAGAAAATTACTCACTGCTTATCTGGCTCTGTGAATAAGCCTCACTTTCTGTGGAACTATGCAAACAATTACAATAATTTAATTTGGGGGCTAGAGAGATAACTCAGCAGTATAAAAGCCCTTGTAGCTCTTCCAGAGACTCTGAGTTCAGTTCCCAACACCCATGTCTGGGAGTTTACAACTGACTATAGCTCTGGTTCCTAGGATCCAGTGCCCCCTTCTGGCCTCCATGGGCACTGCACCCATGTGTGCATACCTACATACAGGTGGCACACTCTTCGCACATAAGTAGAAATAAGCCTGATCCTGTGCAGTTAGCGCCTTTCAGTATTGCCTTTATAGAGTCACAGTAGACACCTTGTCCCCTTTCCTCTCCCCCCTGCAGCTTAGGCACAAACATTGCAGCAGGAGGAAGAGGCAATAGAGAGCCTTGGGTGATAGGGAATTGTGGGCAATGCGGGGCACAGGAGATAGGGAGATGGCCCTTAAGACTTCTGCACAGAGTCTTGAACATGCTGAACACTACTGAACTATGTACTTAAAATGGTTCAGTGGTTCTTTTTTTTTAAATGGTGGTAAGAGATTGAGCCCAGAGACCACACACATGCTAGAAGTGCTTTTTCCATGCGACTGTACTCCCAGCCCATGAGAACAAATTTTATGACTTTCTTTTCGTTAAATCATAATTTAAAAACCACTAGTGAAGTAACTCTCTCTGCGGTGACAGATATCAGGCCCTCTCTGTGGTTTGAATGGGTCCCCAGAAATTCACACATTAACCTTAATTTCTTGGTTGGCATTGTTGGGAGTGGGGCCCAATGGAAAGCCTTTGGTTTTGTGGTAAGAACCGGTGGAAAAGGTTGTACTGTGTCCATGATAGTAGGCTCTTGCTCTCATGGGACTAGATCATTTACCTTCAGGAGTGGCTTCTGTGAAGACAGAGGCTCTCGGGATCTCTTTTCCACACGCACCCTCCTGCTCTTCCACTTTCTGCCACCAGCTGAAGGAGTGTGAGGCCCTCACTAGAGACCCCTACCTTGGACCATCCAGTTCTTTAACCAGCTCCTTAACCATGAACCTAAACAATTCTTTCCATTATAAATTGCCCAGTCTTGGGTAACCCATCACAGCACCAGAAACATACCCTTATATAGTCTGTGGCTGGGAGGCCCAAGTGCTCTGTTTGGTGTTGAATAAGTCACAGACTAAGCTGCTACCCGCAGTTGCTCAGAAGAATGACACCTTCCTTTACAGATTCCATATCCACACTCTTGACCCAATCCCACTCCGTTTGTGGGATAGTATCGTTGTGTGTACCATATCCTGTATTTGTATAAAAATACTAAGAATCTGGAAAAACCAAAAGTAAGAGATCTTTTTGCGTATGTCTGATGATTTGAGATGAGAAGGATCCTAAGTTACTTTCCTAACTATAAAAGGTTAAATATTTAAACCAAATTTGAAAGATTTATGACTCACTATGAAGCTGAATTCTCTTGATGGTTGGAGACCATGCATTCTAATTAAGTCTCCTTCTGTGGATATGTGCCACAAACAGCATTTATACGGAACACAAGTAAAATGCTGAATAAAAAGTCAAATATATGTAAATAAGCATTTTAATGTGGTAGTGGTCTGTCAAGAGTGGGGCTCCTTTAGGAGGCCAAAATAAAATGAAAATTGGAGTCCAGAGGAGGATACTTTCCATAGTCAGCTTGGGCTCTTTGGGCTTCGACCAAATCACTGTCCATATGATAGTGAATTCCTATGCTTAGTTTTGCTGTCCATTTGAAGTAAAGAAGACAAGAGGCAAAGCCAAGGGGCCATCACAGGGGGAAACCAAGCAGGAGAGCACGTCCGATAGTGCTGGTGCATGATGGGATGCCGAACACTATAAGTGCAGATTTAGTAGGTTGGTGAAAAGAATGGAATAAACACAGCTGGAGAGAACACTAGTGGACTGGAAGGCAGTTCTGAGGGATGTAGCACAGAAAAACACAGAGGTGCAAAGCAGAGAGAATGGGCACAAGGAACAAAGACTCAGAGGAGACCCGTCCAAGAAGATCTGTCCTCTTTTGCTTTGTGTGCCTCTAACAGAATACACAGCCTGGGTGATTTCTAAGAGTGGAAACCATTTCAGAGAGTTCCAGAGGCCAGGAAGTCCATGAGGGCCCCAGCACCACAGCCTTCTCCATGTGTCTTACTGGAGGAAGGCAAGGGGTGCAAGGACCAGCTACCTCATCATTGATAGGGTCTTCAAGGCCCTACTTTAATACACAAGGCCAAAGTTTGGAGGAAAAAATTCAAACCACAGACATAGAAGGGAAAGAGCACAGGGATAAAAACATAACAGCTGAGACTCTAGCCAGATGAAGGTAAAGAAATGCCTAACTAGTTATATCATGGTGAAATGGCAGGATGTCAGAGAGAGGGCCAGCAAGATGGCTCGGTAGGTAAAGGTACTTGCTGTTAATCCTGATGATCTGAGTTCAGTCCCTAGCACCCTCATGATGAAAGGAGAGAACAGATTCCCACAAGTGTCCTCCACATGTATACTGTGCAAAACAAGTAAACAAATTGGTAAATGTTTAAAAATAAGAGAAATATAAAATCAGTGAGAAAAGTATTCACCAATCTCACAGTTCTCTGCCGTTTGCAAGAACGAGAGTGAGATGTCCCTTGTGGGACACGGTACTGCCCTCTTCTCTTGCCACTGTGTACTCAGCCACTGATGCCAGAATACAATACTCTTAACTGCAGTTGTCTGACTGTGATAGATAGTTTTATGTCATCGTGACACAGCTAAAGTCTTCCTCAGAAGGGGACCTCAATTGAGAAAATGCCTCCGTAAGATGGGGCTTTAGGCAAACCTGTAGGGAATGTTCTTAATTGGTGACTGATAGAGAAGGGCCCAGGCCATTATGGATGGTGACATCCTTGGGCTGGTGGTCCTGGTCTATAGAAAGCAGGCTGAGCAAGTCATGTGAAGCAAGCCAGTAAGCAGCATCCCTCCATGGCCTCTGCATCGGCTCCTGCCTCCAGGTTCCTACTCTGAGTTCTTGTCCTGATTTCCTTCAATGATGAACAATAGTGTGGAAGTGTAACAAATAAACCCTTTTTTTCTCCATTGCTTTTGGTCACGGTCTTGCTTTGGTGCCTGTCCTGGAACTAGCTCTTACAGACCAGGCTGGTCTCGAACTCACAGAGATCTGCTTGCCTCTGCCTCCCAAGTGTTGGGATTAAAGGCGTGCGCCACCACTGCCCGGCTGCTCATGGTGTTTCTTCACAACAATAACAACCCTAGCTAGGACACCAACTTGCAGATTTTTAACCCTATGATGCTGTGTGTCAGGGTGACAAGGAATTGTCTTCTACAGGCCCTTGAATGAGGCTTTGACAGCTGATGGGCTCCTGGGAAGTGACTGGATAATGAGGATTGCCTTCATGGGTGGATTAGCCCAGTATTGGATTTAAATCTGGAGTAGACGGTCAACCTGTGGTTGAGCTTTGGAAGGGGTAGTCTGGTTTGAGGAACAAACTCATGACAGGGGCATTGTGTCCTGGGGGCAGCGTGCCTCTACCCTGGCCCTTCCCTGAAACTGCTCCGTGTTACAAGCTGCCATGGCTGAGCAGACTCTGCTCTACCATTCACTGCCTGGTGCCCGAAACTGCCTGTCAGCCAGGTTAGGGATTTCACCACCACAGGAAGAAATGCAACTAAGGCCATGTGCATCGTGGGCATGCGCAGAGCGCAGAAATCACGTCTCCTCTGAGGTTTGGTCCTTTCTTAGCTAGAGGTATGCAGTGCAGCTGTCTTGTGATGCCAGGGCATGGGGGAGTCGCTGCTCCTGGTCAGCTGGAGCCAAGCCGCTCATGCTCTGAAGCAAGCTGCAATGGCCACTGTGGTGTTATGTGGTGTTTTAATACTTTCCACACCAGGAATTGAGCATCCATGTTGGAAACAGCAGAACCACACGTTTGCCTGCTGTCTTCAGTCCAGTATGTTTCAGCCAGGTCCTGTATGATTTGTTTATACTAGCTTGCATCAACTGAGGAGCATCCTGTGGGCGCTGCTTACCTTCCAATTCCTGGGCTGTAGCAGAAAAACCGCTCAAGTCCCTTACTGTGGCCCCAGCCCTTCCCTCCTGGAAAGATGGTTGTGGAGGACATCTTTATTCCAGCTCATACTCTAGGCCATCGGCCATGCAGAGGAAAGACCACTCAGAAATGACCTTTATCTCTTCTCTCCTGCCCTGGCCACATTATCTGTGCCAGAACTGACCACATGTAAACGTTACCATGGGGGCTCCTGGTGTGCCATGGCAAGCTGACTACAGCGGAGGCAGCAGGGGGAGTGAAGGGACATTCTACCTGTAGATGCCGTTATAACCCAGATGTTTAGGTCTGTGCTGTGTTCAGAATGGGGACTGCTGTCTCCAACATGGATGCTCTGCAATGTGAATAGCGTCACCATTTATCTTTCAGAACACCTGTGCGGTGATTTACTAAAGAGAAATTAGTGTTCTCTCTTTCCTCTGGTGTGTTTATGGGGTGGGTGTATTCAGGAGGACCAGCCAGAGCCTTGCCCATGCTAGGCAAGCTCTTCACTGAACTACATGCCCAGCCAAAATGAGCTAGTGTAACTCCTGTGATTTGCTTCTGGTGGGCATATGGGACACTTTTACGTACAGACTGCACAAAGCGCCCTCTATGCAGTGACAGATCCACATGGCATTGGCACTGTGCTGACTGGATACATTTTAATAGTCTTCCCTGTATAACATCACGCAGATCTCAGTGAAGTCGAAAAAGCATTCTGAGTTCCACCTTTGAAGACTCACCACAGAGTTCTGAGGACGTTTCTGGAGTAGGATCATTATGTCGAAGCTGAATTCCCTACCAGAGAACAGGCCTTGTGGTGTGGCATTGCTTCCCCAGGATGGCTACCAGGATTCAAGTGGATAAAGCAGGCAGCAGTAGCAGAGCACAGATTCAAAGGGTATAGCTGGTTCCAGGCAGGTAGCCGTGCCATAGAAGAACTGAAGAACAAAGGCTGTGAGCCGAGAGAAGTAGGGCTTGCAGGGAAGACAAGCTGTTTGCCACAAAGAGGCAAGCCATCAGATCCAATAGGAGAGGGGCCAGTGTGGAAGAAAGGAAGCCTGTCTGTGGCTGTATCTTGAACCTGAAGGCCTCCAAGGCCGCTTCAGTCTGGGCAGGGGTGGTGGAGCCAGCACTGGGGACTGAGGAAGGAGAACAGGAGTTGAAGCCAGGGGAGTGGGAAACATGCTACAAAGTAAATTTGTGCCAAAGAAAGCCATCTTAGATTTCATTTGTGAGTATAGAAGAGGCAAAGGGAAAATGATCAGGGCCCAAGGCCTGAGATTTTAGAAAAAGAAAACAATGAACATCGTGAAACTGAGTAACTAGAAGTGTGATTGGCATGCAAACGGTCACAGCACTCCTGTGGACGGACTGAGGTGGCGTGCCCTGAGCCCCAGCTGGTACTGACAAGAGGCTAGGTGCACTGACCTCACACACAGAACTGTTACATCTGCACATTGTTAGGGCAGCTGACAGATACAGGGCAAATACCTAACTTCCAGACAGAGAAAAAGGAAATGGGTTTTAAAAATATCTAAAAGCAAAGAGAGGAGAGAAGAATCTAGAACAAGTGGTAAAAACTTGCAGCAGATTACCAACCCCGAACCCACATGTGCATCCTGCATTCCGTAAAGGGGCTAAGTTCTCAGTTAAAGGGCAGAGACTGCAGGTTGGTAACCCAGCTACTGGACTTGAAGAATGAAGATGCCTTCGGTAAAAGGATAAAAAGGGTCCAGGGCAGAAGATGGAAAGACTCCCTACAGAGAGTCAGAGTAGCTGCTGGTTACAGGAAATGTGTGTTATTATACTTAAACATTTAATTATTATAAATAAGACAAAGATTGACGAGTTCCTGCTAGAGAAACATGTGGGCCTAGTGCAGAGAAAGGCGAAGGTGAAAGGATTTAGAAGGTGGTGCTATTCTACGCTCATTATAGATTTTATTCTGTAACTCCTAAGTGTGTGCTCTGAACAGCGTCTCGCACTGACTGAATATGCCACTCAAATATTACGAAGAAGCTTATGTTAATACAGAGTTGGATTGTTGACCCGTCCTGTCTGTAACTTGGGCACAGCCCTGACCTGCTCTCAGCACTGGCTTCTTAAAGTGAAGTGAGCTGCTGCGAGAGCTTCACGCCCTGTAGCTAGAAGTCCGGATTCCTTCTTATGGCTCACAGCACCCCTGTGTCTCTAAACCTCCCATGTGCGCCTCTAATCCGTTCATCCAGTTCCATCCACTTAATGCTGATTCCTGCCCTGGGGCTGCCTGCTATAGCCCGTCCCCTTTGTCTGGCCTGGAGAGCTGCACTGTCTCTTAGCTCAAGGGCCTCAATTCACATCACACCCAAGCAGAGGCCTCTCAGTACCCTCACCCCAAAGGTCACCCATTGTCCCGCCTCTAGCGTCCCCTCATTCACCACTGTTCTCTCCCTGGCACCCATCACCACATGTTTGTTGTTTTCCATCTGTTGTTTTCTCTAGTTGGGATGGTGTCCTCTTGCCCACCCGGCCTAGTCCGGCTGTGTGGGAGGTGATGGGGAAGTGGCATGAAGGAGTGGAGCCCACGTTCTGCCGCTTCTGTTCCTGGCTCAGCACCCAACCCCACCAGTCAGTCTTAAAGACTTGGTAGCCACACAGATCCTGCACACCTCAAGAGAGCTGGGGGCGGGGGAGCAGGTGGAGCCAAGCAGGTGACGCAGGCTCACAATGGCCCAGAAGTCCTTTACCCAGAGATTCCTGGTGTCATTAGGACCTGGAGTCCACCGTGGTCAGAATGGGGTGCAGCAACTTAGAGGCTGGGAGCAGGGTCCCCCTGAGACTCGACATAGGATGACCCCTGACCCAGAACACTGCTGTGGGTTTGGATGGAGTGAGCCTTGGTGTCCACTAGGTCCCTGAAGATAAGTAAATACTGTATTTTCTTTTACTGATAAGGAAAGTAAGGCCCAGGGAAGCTCACATTCCTGAAAAACACTTAGCACTTTAAAAGAGGTGATTCAGAAAGGCTTTGACAGATGTCTGGTGTCAACATCTGTGTGTGTCGGGGAGGGATAGTAACAAAAATTGTCTTTATTTTACTTTCAAGGGGAAACGGGGACGAGATTGATCACAGTCGGACCTTCAAAGAACTTGAAGCCCAACTTGCTGGAAAGGTAAGAGGGATTTTAAAAGATGTTTCTCTCCCCACCCTGTCAGCCCAGGCAGGTGACCCTAGTGAGGGCTCCCAGTCATGTGAGCGCCAGGAACGAAGGTGCCCTGCCTGCCACCTCTAGCTCCTGACGATGACGTCATCTTCTGTGTTAACTTGGGACATGTATGAGCAGCTGCCTGTCCTGTTTCTGTGTCAGGACGAGGAAGCAACTGCTCTTGAACAGTAAATGCCAGTCGGGAGCAGCTTGGAGAAAATAACCAGTCCAGTGCCAAGCGGGCGATATCACAGCGAGGAGTCACTTAGCCCCGGGAGCGCCTGTGTGCTAAGATGAGATTTTGTGGCTGTGCCACTTGGTTAGGGCTCACCCTGGCTGGGAGGGGGTGGGGACGCCATGCCAGGCTTGGAATTGAGATGTCTTTTTAAAATGCACCAGAGCCTGTCAGTTCCACGAACAGTTTGAGAATCATAGCTTAAATTACTCGATTCAATATGTTGGTTTTAAATTGGACGCATTTTCTTTCTTTTTTGAACTCTTCTGAGACTTCCATATATTTCAAACTCAGAAATAACCGAGAGGGCCACAACACGTTTGCTCCAGTTCTCTGGCTTGTTCCGTCCACACCAGAAAAATCATCGACTGGTCCTTTCATAGCATTGTGTGTCCCCACACCTGAGTCACATGTTGGTATGAGCAGGCGCCCTGGTCCCGATTCGGGTGTAGCCCATGGGTTGTTCTGTGGAAACACTCAGTACTAGGGGTAGGTTGTTCTGTGGAAACACTCAGTACTAGGGGTAATTGTCTTGGTTGTGTCTTTTATTTGTCTCTACATAAGGTGTATTCATCCCAGGATGCTCCTGGGAAAGCCAGCTGCTTGGGATTCATGTGAGCACAGAGCTCTGAGGGTGGTAGGTAGAACTGGGGCCTCAGCTTCTATTGGTAAAAACGCCTGAAGCCCGGTTCTGCCTACAGCCCGGACTGCGCCAACCAAAACTAACCGTGGACCCCACCATGGCCTGGTTCCTCTCTTAGGGTGTTGCTGTTTTCCAGCCAGGTGGCCTCAGGCAAGTCCTTGCTACTGAGTTTATTCATGTGTCCGTGCAGGCAACAGTGACCACCATGAAGGATGGTGTGCAATTAAAGACATCCAAAGGTAGTGGAGGCTCGCTGCTAGCTATGACTTCTTCCTGAGGGGAGGTAGAGCCCCAGAAGTCCACATGAAAACATCTCTGTGCACCCCCACAGAGCTACCCCACTAAATAGACCCGGCTTCCCACCCGTTAGTCCTTTCTCGGTTCCCTGGATCCTGGTAGGGGTTCCATGATGATTCTAGAGGCTAAGTGGGTGGCCACAGGGTTAGTGAAGTTAGGCGCTTCCCATGCCTTCCTTCCCGGGCTGGGAGAGTTTATTTGGAATGAAAGGGAGTACATTCATTATTTGTTTTAACTACAGGTACACTTGGCTTATGAGAGCCAAGAACACATGGACATACCACTGAGTTTGGAGGTCAGAGTTACTCTTGCGCCTTTGAAAGTAGCACACGGTCACTGGGCAGACTAGCTGGACCCCAGGACTGTCATCTCCTCATTTTTCCATGGTAAAGGTTATTTGTTAACCCCTGCCTTCTGACTCAGGCTTGCCAATGTGTCAGTGTCCCAGGGCACTGGAGTCTTGCCTTCTGTCAACCAGAGCATAGCCTGGGCTGGATGATTCCTAGGCCCTGTCTCAACTCAGTGACTTTGCCATGTGGATTTGGGTGGAGAGGTGCCATTTCCCTGGGGCCCACCTTCATTAGTCAAGGGTATTCTCAGGGCAGCCTCAGAAGATCTACCTAGTCTTGGCTCAAATTTAGTCTACACACAGGTCCATTCCACTCACCCTCAGTCCTGCCTGGACCTCACACACTCACTTGGCCCTGACCTTCATTGCGGTCACAAAGAAGTCCTTTGGCTGTGTGTTCCTGGGCATCTACTGGATCTCTGTAGCATTCAGGTTCCCTGTTCCTGAAAACTAGGGACAGTGGGCTCTAGAGAGTTATAGGCACCCTGGTTGCTTCCTGGAGACGCCAGGCTTTTCATTGCCCTAGTTTCCTGTATCCATGGTGAGGTTCCCCATGGCACTGTACCAACAAGAGGAGTAATGTAAGTGGATGGATGGGTGTTCCATGCCTCTGAAGACTAGAGAGCCTGATTCTCCATGCCAAACCCTTCACCTGACACTAGGTGATGCTTTCTCTGCCACACAATAAGTAATATTTTTCAGGTGAGGACCAGGAGAGACCTCTGCTTCACTAGTTGGGGAGAGAGCGTGGGAGAGAGAGAGAGAGAGAGAGAGAGAGAGAGAGAGGGGGGGGGGGGGGGGGGGAGGAAAGGGAACTGACTCAAGATTGACCAGCCCTCCCCATCTTCATGAGCTTTCCCTTTCCAGGTGTAAACAAGATACTTCAGAGCCCCCCTACCCCCACCATGCCCACTTTCAACGAGTTTCCCTAAAGCAAGGTGTGCTGGTTAGTGTTTTTGTTTTGTTTTTATTGCTATTTTTTTACATTTCTTTTTTGTTTATTTGTTTTAATTGGGCTATACATTTTTCTATGTTACCCTCCCTTCTTCCCCCTCCCCTTCTACCCTCTCCCATGACCCCCATGCTCCCAATTTACTTAGGAGATCTTGTCTGTCTCTCTTAGAATCCTCTTTGTTTTCTAGGTTCTCTGAGGTTGTGGACTATGAGTTGGTTTTTCTTTGCTTTATGTCTAAAAGCCACTTATGAGTGAGTACATATGATATTTGTCTTTCTGGGTCTGGGTTACCTCACTCAATATGTTTTTTTCTAGACCCATCCATTTGTCTGCACAATTCAACATGCCATTTTTTATCGCTGTGTGGTATTCCATTGTGTAAATGTATCACATTTTCTTTATCCATTCTTTGGTGTGCTGGTTAGTTTAAAACTACATCTTGCTACAGCCTAGATTCTCATGGGAAGATAGTTTCAATGAAGAATTATCTAGAGTAGGTTGGCCTGTGGGCATGTCTGTCAGGGATGGTCTTGTTCTTAGAGGTGGAAAGATCCACCCAGAATGTAGGCAGCAATGCTTCATGGTTGAGTCCTGAACTGGGTAGGAGTGAAGAAAACAAGCTGAGCATGAGCAGTAAGCAAGGATGTGTCTAGCCTCTTGGCTCTTGACTGTGATGTAGTATGACCAGCTTCTTGAGTCCTGAAATGGTGGACTGTGACCTGGGATTGTGAACTCACAGACCCTTTCTTCCTTAAGTAGCTTTTGATCAGGCATTTAATCATAGCAACAGAAGAGAAATTAGGACACCAGGGGAAATTTCTTCCCATGCCTCTTAGCTGGTGTGTACCCCTCACCCACTTCCACCCTTGGCCGAAAGAGGAACAGGTCCCTGCCAGCAGCCTGAACCAGCTCTGTGTAACCTCTCGTGGTGGCCCGAGTCCCGCCTGTGAATCAGGTGGCCACTCAGGATAATCACAGCCAAAGAGAGCAGGGCAGGCTTGCTGGGAAAGAGGAGGAGAGAGGGGATGGATTGGGGAAGGCGCCTGACTGTTGGTTTTCTTCTGGACACTAATCAGTGTGTGACTTTTGCCCACTCCAATCCCAGTAGCAGCATGCTGAGCACTCACTAGGATTCTTTTAGGAACTTCATTGTATTGAACCTGTCTCCAGAGATTGTCACAAGACAGGGCCACTGTCATCCCATACTAATATGGAGAAACTGAGGAAAAAGTGAGCAGCCTGACCCTGGGTACACAGCTTTGGGTAGAGAAGCCACAGCTCCAGCCTCCTTGTTAGCACCCTGAGCTACCCTGCTTTCGGGGTCTCTCAGGAAAGGTGGTGTGGCTGATGTTTGCATTCAGCAAGCATGACCTGGTCATGCCCATAGATAGGGTCACCCTTCACCTGAGAGTAGCCTCTGTTGCCTCTACCAGAGTCATAAACAAATCTGTTCTGACCATGAGGTCACCTGTCAGTGGAGCAGCCACTTTCCCTACGCTTTCTCTGGCATCCTGCCTTTTAGCACTTCCTCCCACCCTGTTGCCTGTGCCCTTGTCCCTTGTCTGCCTTGCAGGTCCCAGCTCCATCATAGGGTGCGGGATAAGTCCAAGACCTAGCCAGTTCACGTTTTTGAAGTCAGGCCTCCAACCAGACAAAAAGGGATCAGAGAGAAATGTCAGTGCATAGTGAGGCTAAGGACATTGGTCTTTGCCCTGTCTTGTGTTTGTGGACTCCCGCATAAGGTGCAGTAGAAATGGAAGAGGCTGAGAAAGGAAGAAAACCTCACCGTGTGTCTGGGTAAGGAGCACTAATAGCCATGTACTGCGTATGGCTGAGAAGCCCCAAGTGGTTCTGCCTTGCACAGGTGTGTGGCACATCGTGAGCTTGGCTAGGACTCCAGACCCTCCCTGCTCAACCTGCCACACACAAAACCAGTTCTGAATCAGAGACTGGAATCCAAGCATATGTCATTCAGTTAAGGAGGCATAAAAGGAGAAACTGCCAAAGGCCCAGGCTGTTTGCAGTGTGTGGTTCTCCAAGTTAAAGAAACTCTCCAAAGGAGAAAGACTCCAGAGCATGGGCATTTGTGATGCTGGAACATCTGGTCGACCCAGTCAGCTGTGACTAGCATGTCTGTTGGACACTGAGTGATCTCACACAGCATTGATGGGATTACCCTGGTGCCTCAGCATTGCAGGATGTAGCCTGCATCATTTCAGAAGTAATTGGATCATTCAAGTGAGCTGCCTGCTCCTCTGTGCTTTTCCAGTGGGTGAAGAAGAAGAGGGGTAGGTCATCTTCCTAGACAGGTGAGCTTTATTTTAAAAAGACACTTACAAAGTTATATTTAGGACTGAGAGATGGCTCATCTATTGAAGTGATTGCCTTGAAAGCATGAGTACCTGAGTTCAGCTCCCAGCATCCATGTACGGAAGCTGATCATTGTAATACATACTTGTAATCTCAGTGCTGGGTAGGTGAAGGTTTG